AAGGTTCAATGAAAGTCTTGAAGAAGTGGAAGATGACTAAATTATAAAAGTGAATCAATTAATTAATTAAATGGACAAAATTGTTAGAGCAAACCATCAACTGAGTGTCCAAATGATATCTGGACTAACCAATATTGACAAAAATATTATGTGGAAAAATTTGCTAGAGGATCTCGACAAGAAAAAAAATTGTGCTAAAATGATTCTTTAAGTTCTCACACAAGACAAGCTCCAGACGACATATCATGCTCAATATTCATGCTAGTCATTCGACATATCATGCTCGACATTCAAGCTAGTAATTCGATATATCATGCTTGACATTCATACTAGTCATTCGATATATCATTCTCGACATTCATGCCAGTCATTCGATATATCATGCTCGACATCCATGCTAATCATTCGACATTCATGCTAGTCATTCGACATTCATGCTAGTCATTAGGCATATCATGACATATCCATCATGCTCGACATCCATGCTAATCATTCGTTCATTAGTCATTCGACATATCACATTCATGCTAGTCATTCGACACATCATGCTTGACATTTAGGCTAGTCATATATATATCATGCTCGACATTCCTGCTAGTCATTAGACATATCATGCTAGTCATTCCCCATACCATGCTCGAATATTTTTATTTGCATATAATAGCAATTGCTTCAATTAACAAAGAACAGATCAAACAGAGAGAAGGGCAAAGGTGACACCTACTGGTCTTGAAACGTAACGGCACATCACTCAATGTCCCTTCCAGCAAAGCCGAAGATGTAGGAGGAGGGGGAATGAAGATCCTCCAAAGCCATTCATTGTCCGTGGGAAAAATGATCTAATTTTCGAGTTGACCCCTTCTTTGAAGTGTGACCGAATCCGACGAGAGAATCAACCAGTCGTGGCAGAGAAAACTGACCGGACCGCAAAACGATTTTGCATCCTTTGCAATAGTAGAAAAAAAAAGAATAGAAGAAAGAATAGAAGAAAAAGAAGAAGAAGAAAGAAAAGAAAAGTTCGAGACAAGACTAGAAAAAGAACGGGGGGGAGGATAGGATGTGGGCGGATATCTGATGAAGTGACATGCCACCACCAAAGGTGTTGGCGTTTCTTGGAATAAAGGAAACTTGATAAAGAATACACGCACATACAAAAAGAAAAGAAAAGAAAAAGAAAGGAACATTATAATAATAAGCCAGAGAGAGATACAAAAAATAAACCAACGAGGTTCGTTGAATAAAATTAGCAGAGGTAAAAAATAATTGTAAGTTAGAGAAAACTTTTCGAATTTTAGAGGCATTCGTAAAGTATCTCTTCCTATTAATAGAGAGTTTTTGCATACCGTATTTTTATAATACGGTATTTTTTTTCTCCCTAGCGCTCATGCTCATAGGAAATTGCGCATGTGTATCTATCTGTATTAATGTTTCCTATGAGTATGCGCGCTAGGGAGAAAAAAATTTTGTATACCGTATTTTTATAATACGGTATGCAAAAACTTTCTAATGTCTGAAATTTTTTTTCTTGAAGACTAAATAATTTGCAGGTTTTATTTTTTGTGCCTGTGTTTTGCTTTTTATTAGGATGGTGTGTAGGTTATACACAATATAAAAAAATTATTCTCCCCTTTTTTTACATAAGCAATCCTTTTTTCTCTAATGCAGCTGAAATACATAGACAGTTATCTTTCTTTATGTCTACACCAACGTTACTCACTTAGCACTACAGGAGGTACGTATAAGTTGATTAGTTTGGTTTGTCGCTCTACGGTCATCTTGTGCGCACGAGGTCTAAACAGACCGGGACCTACAGTTTAAAGTGGATTCCGAACCACTCACGAACATTCATGGCACCGTCAGAGCTCGCACCTGAAGACTGTGTTACTAAATGCTAGAACGCTAGCCAATTGGTCATCAAGGCCGCACGCTTGTAGCTTGAAGATAAGCAGCGGACGCGGAGTAATAATACCCCAGCAACGCTCTACTATCCTATTAGACTGGGACTTACGGTTTAAAGTCAATTCCAAACCACTACAAATATCCATGCCATCACCAGGACTCGAACCCGAAAATACTGACTACTGTGTACTATTGAAACCATTGGCCACATAAATTAAAATGTCCACTTTTTTAAATTTCATTTCTTTAAACTGTTCAAAAAATATCTTGGAAAAAGTGACATTTTAAAGATCGAAAACATTGAAGCATTCTGTGTTGACAACGTGCAAAAACCGCTGTCCTCCTGGTGTCTCTGGTCTGTCAGATGCACAAGAAAAGGGCTGTTCCAAATTTTCTTGACTTAAATCTTGTAATTAAATCATTGATATTCCAAACAAATACTTGGAAAAAGCAGAATTCCAATATAAAATAAACGAGCTCCATAAAAGTTTCTTAACTACTTAGCAAGGTATTACAACTTGAAGTAGCCTTATGCTAATGACCAATATTACAGACGATATTGCATATTACATCTTTCTATCACTGATGATAGTGGACTAAGGATTGAGAGTGAATCGTGTGTACACTAGTAGATAAACAGCACTAAAGGTGTCTGACTTTAAATAATTATATTTGTTGTTGTTTCTTATCCCACTTGATAGACAGCAACATGTCCAAGAACTCGTGGGGTCTCAGCTAAAGGGTGTGAATAATTGTGATTTAATCAACATTGAAATTAAAATTTAAAAAGAATCAGATGTACCTTGTATATATAACTAGTTGCTTATCCCAAACCAGTAACTACTGCTGAAAACTGGTCATAAAATAAAGTGCCGATTTTTTGTAAATTTCATTTCTTTACACTGCTCAAAAACCATCTTGAAGAAATGACATTTTTAATGGTTCGCAAGATTAAAATGTAAAGATGCGCCATCAAAGTACAAAAAAATAAAGCATATAATTAAATAAAAGGATATTCCCAACAAATACATGATTAAAAAAAAAGCAAAATTCCAGCATGAAGTAAAAATTCACCACACAAAATTTTCATAACTAGTTAGTGAGCAACTTGTACTTGAAGCAGCCTCAGGAAAATGTACAATGCTAAAAAGACGGTATTGTGTTAAACCACTAGCCATAAATTAAAATTTCCGTTTATTTGAATTTCTTAAAACTGTTCAAATAACTCCTTTAACAAGTGACATTTTTAAAGGTGAGAAACACTGAAATACAAAGATTGCTTCATCAAAGGCAAATCGCCAACGTGCTAAAAACCTGAGCCTTCCTGGTGTCTCCTGTCAGAAGCGCAAGAAAAAATGTGTTCCAAATTGCATGGGCAAGAACCTTTTCTTGACTTTATCCTTATAATTAAATCATTGATATTCCAAACAAATGAAAAAGCAGAATTCCTGTACAAAATAAATGCATTCCACCAAGTTGTCAGAACTAGTTAACGGGCAACTCGTACTTGAAGCTGTCTTAGGGGAATGCCCAATGGTAAAGACTACGGTATTGTATATTGCATCACGAAACAGACCGCTGGCCATAAATTAAAATTCCCACTTTTTTAAAATTTCCTTTCTTCAAACAACGTCTTGAAGAAGTGACATTTTCAAAGGTCGGAGACACTGAGATACAAAGATTGCTACTTCAAAGTGCAAAAATAACTTACATTTTCTTGACTTTATCCTTATAATTAAATCATGGATATGCCATGAAGTTGTCAGAACTAGTTAATGGGCTACTCGTACTTGAAGCAAGATGTCTTGAATGCCCAAGTGTAAAGACTGCATTGTATACTGCATCACGAAGCAGACCGCTGGCCATAAATTAAAATTCCCACTTTTTTTAAATTTCCTTTCTTCAAACAACGTCTTGAAAAAGTGACATTTTCAAAGGTCGGAGACAGTGAAGCGTACAGTCTGCTCGCCAACATGCAAAAAACGCCTACCTCACCCTAGTGTCTCTTACAGACGCACAAGAAAAGGGCTTTTCTAAATTTTCTTGACTTAATCCTTGTAATTAAATCATTGATATTCCAAACAAATACTTGGTAAAAGCAAAATTCCAGCATGAAGTAATAAATGCTCTCCGTAAAAATGTCATAACTAGTTAGTGAGCTACTTCTGCTTGAAGCAGACTCAAGAGAATGCTAAATATGGTATTGTGTTAAACCACTGGCCATAAATCAAAATTTTCATTTATTTGAATTTCATTTGTTCAAATAGCTTATTTAACAAGTGGCATTTTTAAAGGTCAGAAGCACTGAAATGCAAAGATTGCTTTCTCAAAGTGCAATTCGCCAACGTGCTAAAAGCCTTGTTACATTGACAACATTATTACATTGACAAGAACCTCCTTCTTGACTTTATCCTTATAATTAAATCATGGATATTGCGAACAAATACTTGTTGAATAAAAAAGCAGAATTCCTGTTTAAATTAAAGGCATTCCATGAAGTTGTCGGTACTAGTTAACGGTCTACTCATACTTGAAGTTGTCTTGGGGGAATGCCCAACTGTACAGACGGTATTGTATATTACAACACGAAACAGACCACTGGACATAAATTAAAACGCCCACTTTTTAAAATTTTCTTATTTCAAATTGCTCAAACAACGTCAAACTGCTCAAAGAAATGACATTTGAAAAGTAGTCTTGAAGAAGTGACATTTTTAAAGGTCGAAAACACTGAGATACAAAGATTGCTTCTCCAAAGTGCAAAAATAACTTGCATTTTCTTGACTTTATCCTTATAATTAAATCATGGATATGTTGTTGTTGTTGTTTCTTATCCCACTTGGCTGGCCAAGCCCACGAGCCCATACGTGCTCATGATTGAAGGGGAAGGAAGCAGCTTCTGTTGTGATGGAGCACCCGTAGGTAGAAGCCTGACTTTTGCTCCGTGACGCTCTTACAGTCATAGGAGACCGGGACCTAGGGCGTAAAGTGGATTCCAAACCACTGCAAACATCCATGGCACCGCCGGGATTCGAACCCGAAACCTGTGGCACCGAGTATCAGAGCGCTAGACACTCGACCATTCAGGTCCCAAATTTGCCAACGGCACGCGGTGTTCCCACCAGGTGGTCACCCACCCAAGTACTGATCGCGCCCAATGATGCTTGAGTTCGGTGATCTAACGAGACTGCATTGTATATTACAACACGAAACAGACCGCTGGCCATAAATTAAAATTCCCACTTTTTTTAAATTTCCTTTCTTCATACAACGTCTTGAAGAAGTGACATTTACAAAGGTCGAAAACAGTGTAATATAAAGATTGCTTCCTCAAAGTACAACAAAAAAAAACTTACATTTTCTTGACTTTATCCATATAATTAAATCATTACTATCAGAACAAATACTTGTTTAATAAAAAAGGTAGAATTCCAGTACAAAATAAATGCATTCCACGAAATTGTCAGAACTAGTTAACGGGCTACGCGTACTTGAAGACCTGTTAGGGGAATGCCCAAGTATAAAGACGGTATTGCATATTGCATCACGAAACAGACCGCTGGCCATAAATTAAAATTTCCACTTTTTCTTTTAAATTTCCTTTCTTCAAACAACGTCTTGAAGTAGTGACATTTTCAAAGGTCGGAGACAGTGAAGCGTACAGTCTGCGTCGCCAACGTGCAAAAAGCCCGCGTCTTCCTGGTGTCTCATGTCTGTCAGACGCACAAGAAAAGGGCTGTTCCAAATTACATGGGCAAGAACCTTCTGCTGACATACGTCCAAAAGCGTGACGTTGCACAAAGAAGAACCGCCCACTGTCTCTTCGGCGGGATTGGTAAAAGAAAAAAAAAAGAAATCACAGAAAAATAAAGGTTATTTATGAAAAAGAGATACCATAAGACATGAATTTGAGGAGAAGACATATACTTGTCGTCTTCTGTTTTTTTTTTTTTTTCTTCCTTTCATCCATCCACAATTTAAAGAACAATAAATTAATAAAAAAAAAGAGAAAAGAGAAGACAGAAAAAAAAAGTTTGGTCCCTTTTATAGAAAATAAACAAAATACTACGAACTGCAATATAATCACCATCAAAATAGAATAAAATGATAATAATTACCAAGGGGGAGGGAGAGGGGTGGAAAGGGAATGAAGAAGAAAAAAAAAAAAAAAAAAAAGAAACACCACGTATCAAACAGTAGCAATTCGAGGTGGAAAATAGCGATACGGAAAGCGTTTGAAAAAAATAAGAGAGAGAGGGAGACAGAGAGAGAGAAAAAAAGAAAGAAAATGGAATAAAATATCACAAAGAAAAAACAAACCGAACCACTCATGCATTTGATGGAGGGACAGTTCCAGGTATACCGAACCTTTATTCGTGTAAAAAGGTGCAAAAAAGCTGTTTGAATACATAGATATATATCTGTAAAAGGACGCGAAGAAACTAGAAATAAATTAGATGTTACGTAAGAATAGAGTTATTTTTAAAAAAACGACGAGGAGTACATGTAAGTGGTACATTATTCACATGTAGATTGGCGGAAAATCTAATTTTGTGTATTTTCTATTCACTTAAATGTAAAATTGGTATTAAGTAGCACAATAGTTACTTTTTCCGATTGTCATATTGTAATATCTGTTGATATATCAAATAGATATTTATACCAGTATATTAGAAAAGCTATACTTATAGTATAAATAAAATTTACCATACAATGTATGGTGTGTTATTACATCTACAATAGAAGTATATGCAAATCCATATATGTATTACTCATTGTTAAATATTAATATTTTGGAAAAATAGAAAATACACCAGTATCGCGTGTTTTTTATCAATTATCACCGTTTAACCGATAAAAAGACAAATATAGTAAATTATTAAACTTCCTTTATAAAGTAGCTTAAAAACTAGTTGAGTAACAATTATTTTTATTATAAAACATGTTTTTTGTTGTGATCAATACCATGACATAGGAAACAAAATATTGAATCCCCATTTTTGTTGATGGTTTACGAACTTGATACGGATTCGTTGTTTTATTCGTTAATTTTATTTTTACTTCACAATTCCGATTTAATATGTTTATTCGTTATTGTTTTTGATGTTTTATCATTCATATTTTAGATTTAATATTTTTTATTTTTTAACTGATTTTTTCATGATAAAACATTGAATACAAATTCGATCAAATTATATATAAGTTTGTCTTATTGGTTAAAAACATAAAATAAATGTTGTTTTAAAATATTGATTTTTCTTTTTTTCAATTAATTCTAATTTTTCAAACCAGAAATAACCGGGTTTATTTATGTCATTTTATTTTTATTTTTTATTATTTTTTAAGGATGCTTTTATCAGCCTCAGTGTCAAAATATGTGAGGTGAAAGTTCGAATCTTCATTCATTGCTTACAGAAAGACTAGATGGACATTATGACGTCGTCTGTAAAATATCTAGTATGTATAGTCATGCCTCTTGGTATGAGTTTCCCCGGTTTTTTTTGTCCTCAAATACGACACACAAATGCGTCATATCAATAATTTATTTCTGAAAAAAAAATGCCCATGGATTATATTGACCCATAATCTCCATCACGAACATCAGGAAGTTATAGTAATTTCTTATGAAGAAAACAAAGTTTCCATATTGAAACAAAATCTTGAAACTTAACTAATCGTTACAAAGCTCGAATCTGTATGTCAATACAAATAGTAAAGCGAGTCTAGCACAACAGTGAACTAAATCCCTTTTAGCCAGCAAAGGCATTAAATTAAAACTACAGCTAAGAATCTAAGAGAGCTTTTTCATATATTTATATATCACTACAGTATATGTTGGTCTTGGCCTCCCTAACTCTACGACTCCCCATTGTCTATCGAGAGCTTTGTTTTTTCCAATTTGCGATCCCTAAGTTCTTCAGGTCCCTTTCCACTTCATTAATCCACAATCCATCTATTTTTTGGACTTCCCGTATTTCTTTGCCACTGGCACTTCTCGTTGAAAATCAGCTGCCTGATGGCCAATTGGCTAGCACACTGGCCTTTGGTATCACAGACTTCATGTTCGAATCTTGGCGGGGGGCATTAATGTTTGTTGGTGGTTCGGAATCCATGTTAAACAAGAGGTCCCGGTCTAATTAGTCAAAAGTGTGTACAAAATGACGGTAGAGTGACAAACCAAACCTTGAAAATCTTCTTTGTGCCTCTGCTATCGTCCATTCTCTCTATGTGTCATGACCATTGAATATATATGATGTTGGTAATATAGATATGATGTTTGAATATATGATGTTTGAATATATATGAATATATATGATGTTTGGAAAATTGCTCATTTTTCCCCATGCACAGTTCTGCCAAATGTTATGAACAAGAAGCATTTTTAGAATGTGTGTAAAAGAAAAAAAATGTCCTCCAGAGCATAATCCACACCACGAATTTCCAACGAGTTTTTTTAGCGCCTAATCTATAAGAGGTGCTAAAAATAATATATCTAATTTTTTTAAGAGGAAATTGCAATAATTCCTCTTGCAAAACAAAGTGTAGATATACGTATTTAAAACGTAAACCATATATATATATATATATATATATATAACACCCTGGCACTATAGTATATGTTGGAACAATGCCACCCTAACAATATGGCTCTACATAATCTGTGTCGAGTTTTGGTTTTTCCTATTTGTGAACCTTAGGTTCTACAGATCCACTTTTCCACTTCATCAATCCATCTCTTTTTTAACCTTCCCTTTTTCATTGGCTCTTGAAAGTCTTCTCTATGCCACTGCTATTGTGCCATTCTCTCTATGTGTCAGGGCCATTGTTGAATTCCATATATATATATGTATATATATAATGTTTAATTTCTTATTTTATCTTTTTTTCCTAAACACAGTTCTGCCAAATGTTCTGAGCAAGAAGTATTTTTAGATGGTTGTTTTATAGAATTCATTTTTAAGAACGCATGTAAAAGAAAAAATGTCCTCCAAGCAACAACTCATGATCCACATCACGGATTACCAAGGAATATGTTTTAGCACCCAATACATAGATTCTTAGGAGGTTAAATTGCCATAATTCCATGCGCAAAACAAAGTGTCCCCTCATTTAAAACGAAAACCACCGGTCTTTGTGCATCGGGAGAGGTAATAAGGCGAATCTGGTGCAACAGTGAACTAAAATCCCATTCAGTCCTCCCCGACATTAAAATGAAACCGCCAAGAAAGCACGGTCCCGCACGGTTCAACCGCACGCCGGAGCGCATAATAGACCTGTCTGCGCACAAAGGGACACAGGGTACTGTTGTAAGGACATCAGCAGCGTACCTTCAGTACTTGTACCTTCCATTCATCGGGTGTACTTGTAAATCATACATCAAGCCAGACGACCATTCAGCGAGTCATTTCTGCGGGGTCATAAGCCAGGGGGGAGCGTCAATGCGAATTGAGTATTTTTGTTGTCAACGCCATTCAAGCACTGTATATGAAGTTGTGTACGGAGCAGCATAAAGTGCCGGATGAATGGCTAAATTTAGTCCGGGACTCGGAAAATGGGGAAATTCGCAAGGTTAAATGGACCCCTCCATCCTTTGAGGGAATGTTTTGTAGCCACCCTTCCCCCCTTGCATGGGGAAGAGGAAATTATGGGCTGTGAAAACTTTTTATGAAGATGAAGGGTGAAAAGGTTTTCAGAAACGTCGCATGTTTGGCTTCTGAATGAGAAGCGTTAGTGAAGTCCTCGTGACTTTTGAGTTGGGGAATATGCCTCAGTTCAAGTCATGTCAAGAATGGATTGAAGACTTCACAACGGGGTCCTTTCAGAATGTATGAATATGCTGGACTCCATTGCTTATTCAATATATGAATGCAAGGCGTTCTTAATAAATTATTATTATCAAGCATTATCAGGATAATCAGTGTTATTAGTAATATTGACGCATTCTATATTCACTTAAAAATATAGAAAGTGAATCAATTGTCATGGGACAAACTTTGAGGGGTGGTACAGCTTACTAAAACATACATTTTTTTTTTATTGTCGGTAGTGACAGAAGTGATGCGTTGAGGAACGATTGCACTGTCAAACGAATTTCTCCATGGCCAGACACAATGCACCAGCTGATACCCTCATAAGTTTTAAGTCCTCTGGCTGACAATTCGGATGTGCTCTCTATTTTATTGTTACT